AATAATGGGAGTGCACTGGAAACATTCTACGATTTTCCTGAACTCCCAGGATAATCTTAAAACAGTAGGCAGCCAAACTATATTGTGGAACTTCAGCGCTGCTTGTACTGGCAGTCTCAGTAAATGCGTAGTCAGTTTTCTCTTCTTTAAGCTCCCTTCATCGTTCCTCACAGAACGTGCTTTCCAGACCTTGTACAAGCATGGCCACCTTCCTCTAGACAAATTTCACTTGTTGCAGTCTTTCTTAAACTATAGTGCCCAGAAACTGGCATACTATTCCAGCTGAGGACTGACCACAGTAGACTAGAGTGGTAGTATTGTTTCCCTGTACACTACAAAGTTGATGCAACCAAGTACTGCATTTGCTTTTTTGGTGGTCAGATCCCACAATTTAGCCTGTGGCCTACTAAAGTCCCTAGGTCTTTTCATGCATACTCCAATCTGTTAAGGTCACTTTGAATCCTAATTCGGTCTTTTGAGGTACTAGGAATGCCTCCAAGTTTGGTTTCATTTACATATTTGATTAGCATCCCCTTCACACTCTCATCAAAGTCAATTATAAAGGTGGTAAACACCCCACTTGTCACTTACCTCTGGGATGATGAGGAACCACTTACAAGCACTCTTTGGATACAGCCCATCAACCAGCTATACGTTCACTTAACAGTAGCATCATCTAGCCCTTTACCAGCCTGGCCACAAGAACATGAGGGACCTCATCAAAACCCTTGCTGAAATCAAGATCCATAGCATCCCATTCATCTACTAAGTTTGTGACTTTGCCAGAAAAAGTGATTAGATTAGTTTGACATTTCTTTGAGATACCCAGCTATTTTATTTTTTTATTTATTCCATTTATACCCCGCCTATCTGGTCATATTGACCACTCTAGGCGGCTACATGTTTCTGAAAGCACTGTAGTCATTTCTAGAACCTTTCCTGATATCGATGTCCAGTTGACCACCTAGTAGTTCCACAGATCTTATTTTTCACCTTTTAGAAAATGGGGATGATATTTGCTTGACTCTAGTCTTCAGGGATCTCACCGCTATAAAATTCCTACCCTACATGTAGACTCTTCTCTCTCAGAAGGTGTGACCACAGAATCACATCCAATATTTCCTTCTATATATTGAAGTTAGATTCTTTAAAGTCCAGCACACATGTTACACTACTTTCAGCTTTTCCTTCCAACATACAATAAATCTCAAGAGGGCATGGTTACTTCTACGCAAAGTTCCCGCTACTTCTACTTCACACAGCATTTATTCCATGATGGTAAAGGACTAGACTGAAGACAGCTGATCCACTTGTTTCTTCTTTCACACATTCTAGAAGATGGAGTGGTCCGCAAAGCAAGTGAGGAATTTGTTGGACATTATGTTTTGGCCAAGATGATATCAGGGTTGTTGAAGTCTATGATTACTACTCTCTCTTTTGACTGTTTGAATGAAAAACATTTTTGAATGAAAATGGTTCCAAATTCTACTTTCGTATGTTAACAGAAAATTTCACAAGGCAGTATCCGTGACAAGTGAAACTCCTCCCCCAAGTTTGTAGAATCCTGTGGTTCCTTGAAATACACTTGCCATATACTTAATTAAGTTGCTACATACTTAATTAAGATGGCAAATGCACATTGCCTACTTAGAGCAGAATTCACCTATTATTCCTATCAGAATAGAATCACTAATGAATGGGACTTTTAATTTAACTCTTTTTAAACAATACTGATTTAATGTGTCTAATCTATTTGGGACTAAAATTGGATTTAGCTCTCTGTCAGCCATGCCCTAGACATGATAGCTTTGCAAAAGGCTCTGTCTCACCAACCTGAAAAGGGCTGGGCACCTGGCTCCCCGTTTCCTGCTTCACCTCTTCCTCCAGACACTCCTTCTGAAGCGCCCGCCGGCCAGCTGGGGGAAAATGCCGGCTGATCGGCGCTTCCAAAATGGCCGCCCACTGTTTTCTGGACGGATTCCTCGCTTACCGAGGCGGCAAAAATGGCCACCCCTATGGAGGATCTTCACTGAACGGTGAGTTTTTGCCCCATAGGAACGCATTAAACATGAAGTAGTCCAGCAAAGGCTCCTGATTAGTTGCCGGTTTTGGGATAAGAATACAGGTCCTTCCAGGATTAGAAAATGACTATAATAGATATTTCCCAAGTGACTCATCCTGCTCTACACATTCTACAAATACACTGCTGCTTGGGTGATTTTTTCTTACAAAAGATTTCCCCCCCAAAAAAGATATAATAATATAATTACAGTGGTGCCTCGCATAACGAGCGGCCCGTTTAATGACAAATCTGCATAGCAATGCGGATTTTGCGAGAAGAGTATAATAACAGGAGGCAAGTGGTGGTGGGGACATAAAAATGCTGTGGAACCCTAAAGACTGCTATATTTTGATATGAGCTTTCATGGACAAGTCCACTTCCTCTCAGTCTGGACTCATCCACAAAAACTCACATTAAAGTCTACTGGACTCATCCACAAAAACTCACATTAAAATATAGCAGTTAGTCTTTAAAGTGCCATGATATTTTTGTCTCCTTCATTTATTTTTTGCCCTATATGGTAGCACAGACTAACATGTTTTTGTCTCCTTTATTTATTTATTTATTGCCCTATATGGTAGCACAGACTAACATGGCCATCTCTTCCAGATCTTGTAATAGGAAGGAAAAAGTGAGAAGAAATTGATAGGTCTTATGATACATGACAATCCCATCTCTTCTAGATCTTGTAATAGGAAGGAAAAAGTTAGAAGAAATTGATAGGTCTGTTTTATAGATGGCACATGACCCCAGAAATTTAGGACGACAATGAAGCTGCTTTACACAGAATCAGGTTGTTGGTTCTCTGTCCAATTGTTGTTAACAATGAAGGGCAGATGCTTTCCAAAGTTTCAAGTGAAAGCTATTCCTGTCCTCTTTGGAGATGCCATGGTTTGAACCTAAGACTTTCTGTATTCCAAGCATGTGATCTGCTAATGAGCTACAATCTCTCCTTGGGCAAAGTCTGTCAATGACCTGCTGTTTAGCTCATTGCAAAATAATCTGAATTCAGAGTGCGCGGTAATACAAGGATGCAGAAAGCACACTGTGAAGATCTCCAAATGGATCTCTCCAAACTGTATTAATAGACAACAAAATGAGGAAATTCAATTCAGTGTAAGATGCGGAAGGCAAAAGATTTTGAAAGATTTCCCTGTGTCTCTCTGACGACCTTCCCAAGGAACTGGGAAGGGAAAAGAAAAGAAAAAAGAGTGCATACCAACAGCCAGCAGTGCCCAGGAAATGACTGTAACTGGCATAAGGACTGAACCCTCAACAGCAGGAACGTCAGTGGTATTTGAGAAGCAGAGGACAAGTTGTGCTGGGAAGTGGGAAAATATTCTGGGCAGCTCTGGCAGCCTGTGGTGGGTAGGAACTGTGCTAATTGCAAGGAGCACAATACAATGAGGTGAGTGAGCACAATCTTGGAGTAGCAGTTGGAAGAATGAATGAAACAGAAGGAGGGGGCAGCAGATTGAAATATGGCATACCTGCTGCTATGAGCAGAGTGTCCCATTCTCTTACTTACAGCAGACTTCAAGGAAGCCTAGCAATGGTAGGTTGACCTTAAGGAAAGTATGTTTTTCTATAGATCCAGGTTTTAGGTGTGAGCAGCGTGAACTGATAATGTCCTCTGCTTGAGAGCTCACTGGGCATGCTAGTTGGTGGGCAAGACAGCAGCCCCACTGCCATCTGGACCAGACCTCCTCAAAGAGATTCCTTTTCAGCTCAGTAGGACAAGGGATCAGTCTTCTGCGTCATAGGGCTCCTGCATGTGCGAGGTACATGCCATGTCGTTCTTCTGGGATGGTGTCTCTGGAGGACAGACCCCAACCATGCTTGTCAGGACAGTGTCTTCAGAAAGCTTGATGTGTTGTTGGAGGGGTGAGTAGCTTGGGCTCTAGAATACAACTGCTGGTACTGCTGTTTGGAGTGCGATGAGCATTAATACTTTCTTCCTGCTCTGCGTGACCATGCAATGCTAGCCAGACCTTCTTCACTAGCTGCTGCTCCACATGATGGAAAGTAAGCTGGCACTGGCCCCTCTTACTGCTGCTTAATATCCATTGCCTACTGTTTAATTTGGGGATCCAACAGGTTGCTAGAATGAGAAGCTGCTGTGAGTTACATCATTTGCTTACTGAAGGCATAGCTATGCAATATGATGTGGCTCTATGCCTTGCTTTTCCCCCATGTTTACTCATTCCTACTCTGGAACACATAGACCACATAGATGACTAATAATATCAAAATTATTATTACTCTAAACTAGAATTTGTAAGGTGATCTAACAAGATCAAAGATGATGTGTATGCTAGGAATTCCAGCTGGAAGGGAAGCAAAGTGGCAAAGAATGATACCTTAAAAGAAGGTAGAATTCAGAAGATTATAAAAGTGTTAGCATCTCTCTATAAAGCAAAGCGTGCTGCTTATATACCGCCCCATAGTGCTTCAAGCACTCTCTGGGCGGTTTACAAGTTAATTATGCAGGCTACACATTGCCCCCCCAGCAAACTGGGTACTCATTTTACTGACCTCGGAAGGACAGAAGGCTGAGTCAACCTTGAGCCGGCTACCTGGGATTGAACCCCTGGTCGTGAGCACAGTTTTGACTGCAGTACAGCAGTTTAACCACTGTGCCACGAGGCTCTTAGGTTCAGAGATATAGCATCTCATTATTGTAAAGCACCACAACCTAGCTTTCAAACAGATAAAAGCAGATGGCCATGTGCTCTTGTAAACCACATTAAGTGAATTAGGCATCAATATAACCACACACACAATTCATAATGGGTTATTGCTTAGAATTCTGCATAACCCCTTGGATTTGTGGCCACCTTTGAACCACTGACAGCCAATAAAGGAGGCTAAACTTTGGCACCCATCATAAAGCTTTACAGCCCGCTGCTGTTAGCTGCTTTGTACATTCTTTATTTACCTTGGGCTTGAGCTGGGCTAGCTCATTAAAGGTGTTAAGCTGTCTTGTGAGCTCTGCCATCTCAGTCATCAATTTCTCCATGCGGACATCAATGTCGGCCAGAACCTCTGTGGTGTGAGCTGTGGCCAAAGCTTCTTGGAGATCCACCAGGTGAAGAGCTCGCCGCTCCTCTTCACAAACGAGACGCCGTACTTTGTCAAATTCTTGCTGAATGCATTGCTTCATGTCACCCTGAGTCACCTAAAATATAAAAGAATAAGGGGACTTAAAAGAACTGTAACAAGTATAATAAAAAGCCATTATCTGGAGCAGGGAAAATTTTGAATCCTACAGAGAGTTTTGATGTGAAATAGTAGTAAAGAAGCAATATTTGCTACAGTACTTCCAAGTACTTGGAATGAGTTGCATCTCTCCCATTCTTTCAAACCACCCCGTATGACAGACTCAGACATGGATTTTTCCATGGTCAGCACCCAACAGTGAACTTTCACTGAATTCTGGTGTTTCAGCAATCCATCTTCCCCACTGCAGCAACCCCTCTGTGCACCCTGAACACCTGTCCTACGAGACTGGGACACCCCCTCGAAAGGATTTTGGCAAGCACCACAGATAGCTGTAGAAAAAATGGAAGAGGACTTAAGTCCCAGGTCTGCTGGTCCTGGAAAATGAAGTATCTTGTGGGATCTTGGCCTTTCTACTTTCCATGACCAAAAGAACTGGGAGATGAAGCTAATAAAGAACCACCCAGAGCTGGAAATAACTAGTTAATTGTAATTAATTCCCTTTCCCAGCATGATTATGATTACAACTTAATGAGTGATAAACTCACACACATAATTATGATATAAATATAGCATTTTAATTACTTTGACAGATTTTTGGATGCACTCATGATCTTAGCTATTTGATTTACTTCCCTTAGGAGTACAATGACCACGATTCCCCAAATGTTTATTAAATATTGTGTTTCTATATAAATATTTTAATTTTCATTCCCTTTAACTCCCATTTTTTTAATCATGATCTTAACTATCTAATTCATGTTACTACTGTGAATATGGAACAAGAGCATCAGAATGTAACATAGCCCTCCAGGTAACATTCACCTCTTTTAGAAACATAGTTTTATCACAGTAGGTAACTACAAGGGCACTTGGAATAATCCACTAATTACTTTGACTTTCTGAGGTTTGCTAAGGACATCAACAGAACTTATGGATCATATGATATTCACAAGTCATAGCTCTGGACCACCACGAATGAGTTTGCATGTAGAACAAGAAAAGTGAAAAAGGGATGAGGGAGTGGTGTGATGGTAAATTTACCAAAAAATATTTCTGGAGGGGAGGACTGAAGGAGGACAGCACACTGATTCCTGAAGATACATGCCAACACGGTTTATGGTTGGTAGCAAGTAACATCTTTCTCCCAGAACTTCAACATAGCTAATAGAAGCCCAAAATGTGTTCATCATAAGGGGTCATGAAAGAATGGCCAGACTTCTGGTGCCTAGAACAATTGTCAATCTACCCTAGTTTTGCAACTTGCACAAACCTAAGGCCAGCTGAAAGATTGTCTACATACAGAGAATGAAAGCCATCGGATAAGGAACCTTCACATCAAAGGATATCTGCTAAATCAGGTTTGAGCAAACAGTGGTCTTCCAGCTGTTGTTGGACTCCTGCTCCCTCCCATTAACCCTAATCACTGTAGCCAGTAATGAAGGATAATAGGAGTTACAATCCAGCAACATTTGGACGGCCACCAGTAGTCCAATGGACTAAGAAAAGAAATGTAATCACCAATCATATTTTGAATAAAACTGGGAACTAGCTCATTATTGCTTTGTAAAAGTTCTGGTCCATTATTGGAATTAAATTAAATTAAATAATAATTATTGTCATCATCATCATCATTATAGACAGAGATTTCAAGATGACAAAATAAATCACAAACCAGAGAACAGCAGCAAAATGTTATGCCAGCAGCCAACACGAACACCTCATATATAGAAAGTCTGTTAATCATAAAGAACATCCAGTTTCCTCCAAGCAACAGCCAAAAACACGATGCATAAATTTACGCTTCCTAAATAGGTTGGCTTATTTAGCTATTTCAGAGAAAGGTTCAGCTCTTTGAAACAGTTTTAGTTTTGCTTCAGATTTTTTTCTATTTATTCCTCACACACAGACAGCTTCATGCATGTTTCTCTTCCAGCGGATTATGCAAAGGTACAAGCCATAGTTCTGTACGGCAAATCTATAAGCACAGAAAATATGGAGTGCAATCTTATGCGTATTTATCAAGATGTGAGTTCCACTGCATTTAGTGGGAGAGATTCCGAGGTGAGAGTGTATAGTAGAGGTGGGAAGTCTTTGACCCAATCAGTGTTTCTGGGCTGCTACAGTCACAGTTGCTTACCACTGGCCATGCCACTGGGACTGATGGAAGGTACAAGTGAAAACATCTGGAAGATCATAGCTCCCCACACTTGGCATAAAGGGACTGCAATCTTTGTGTACCTTTTGCTAGGAGGAAGAGGCTGGAACAATATTCCCAAGGAGCCTTCCTTTCCAGGCCTGTGACAGGGAAGCTGAACATCTGCTTCCCAACACCAGGAACCATCATGGTCGCTTCAAGAAAGTGTTAGAAATGGAGTATCTTCCAAAAAGATCGGCCAAAACACCCTCTCCAATTCTGTCCCTACGGCTGTATGATTTTAGCAGCTCAGCATGTCAATACTAACTGGCAGCGAGTAACCTATAAAAACTGAAGTTGCAAATCACAGATGGGCACTATTTTGAATGCTGGTAAAAATGAGGCTGCTGTAAAGGGGGAAAATGGTGTGGAAGACAAAGCTTGCAAGCAGATTCTTTTTACACATCCATTTAATGGTAGCTGAGAGAGAAAAAATATTAAAAACTTTAAGTACCAAAAAAGAAGAAGCATTCTTCTGAAATATCTTGATAGACAACCACTGCATTCTTCTGGTGTGGCTGCAGTCGGCATACGGCATAAGCCGCACATTGCTTCTTCAATTAGCACTACTGGATAGTGGCAAAAAATGAGATTTTTTTAAAAAAGATCTTGTGCTGAAGCATTTGTAGAAATTGCCCATGCGGCATTCTCAAGAGGGAAAAAACCTGCACAGGTCAAGGGTAGGAAGCAGTAAAACCGGAATGCTGAAACAGCTCACTTACTTCAGAGGCATTCATCCTATTAGCCAGATATCCTGCCAGCTATAAAGCTAGTTAGCCAGCCAGCTTTTCACCTTCAGAAGTTTTGCAATTTCAGTGACAGGGTAGAAGATATAAATGAAGGGGAAAGCACGTCTTAAATATGAACAGGCCTTTATTGATGCAAAACTGTTTCCCTCAAAAAACAGTACAAAAGCACTTATGAGAGGAAAAACCATTAATGATAATTTTTAAAAACCACTTTTGTGAGGAAGAAGTATGAGGTCAGCTAAATATTTGCTTTAAAAAGAAAGCCTCCCAGCCTTTATCTATCCCAAACCTATTAATAAGGTGAAGGTTTCAGATCTTTGGAGCCACCACTATAAATGCCCATCTACGCTCTCTCTTGGATGGAGAGCCGTTATTGATAGGTGGCCTTGACCTGCCGGATGGATTCACTCAAGAAAAGATGATGCTTGAAAAAGAAAGGTGATTCTTAATATATATGGACTGCAAACCATGAAATGCTAAAAGCCCCATGTTTAATTATCTTTGGAAGGAGATGAGTAACCAGAGTAGCTTACAGTGATCAGGCGCAGTAACTTGCAGCTGTACTGTACAGTGTATATTGTAGGAAACAAGAAAGGAAGTCAGCAGCATGTGTCAACATAGCAATGGTCAGGGAAGGCACAAGACTTCAGCACTCGATCCAGATTGGGAAATGGCATTCTAAACACAATTCCAATCTCCTTCTTACGGCACTTTTAAATCCTATTTTTGTTCTTAAACTAGGACGGAAGCCAGAATAAATGAAGGTGGGGGGTGGGGGAGACTTCAGGCATTTCAGGCAGTATGGGTTTGCCAACTCAAATTAACTTATTGTTGTGGGTCACCTTGAGAACTCTGCTATAGGGTAACCTATGTATACTGTTAATCAATCAACTGCTTACCCATAATCCTCTTCCCTCTTTTCAAAATGAACATTTTAAGATCACTGTTGTGTTCTGATGGACCTGAAGAATCAATTTCAAAATACAGAGCCCAATATCTGGACCAAAGATACAGTATGCATACAGAGTCCATGGTAGTGGGGAAGGTGGGTATGAGATTTGGACGTGCAGTGCTTACTTTGACCGCCTTCATAGCTACCCTTCCCCCAAGCAGAGTCCAAGCACATGGATTGCAATTCACAAAAGCTCAAATTGAAATAAACATGTAAGTTTTAACTCTGCTTTTATTAGAACAGACTAATAAAATGTCTAATCCTCTGAAAAATAAATAAAGCATGATACCTTCGAAGCCTTCCAGACAAAGCTTTTATTGTTAAAATGCCCTGTCTCATTTATTGAATTTTACAACTGAGGAGGAAGTTCAGAAGCAGTCTTTCACTTTTGACTATTTCATGGTTTCTCACCTATACATTTATCTTTTTTCCTTTCAGCAAAAAGTCTGTGCAAGTCAGTAAGACAGAATAGCTGCACATCTTTCTGAATGGTAGCACTACAGACTATCCATCTGGAATCACACTCTCTTTTTAATACGTATATGTTGTGTGTCATCTACTTCGGACATGCTATCTGAAAATGCCTATAGAGAACTCTACCACTATACCCTGTTCTCTACACACAACCCATGTACCACTGAACTAGCCAAGGAAGTGAATCCTACTTACTCTGCCTTTTCCATCCCATAGAAACTACTGTAGTTCTCCCTTTGGTTTAAAAATGTCTATAAAACCTTTCAAAAGAAAAAAGTACATGGATGAGATGTCACACATAAGGCTATATTGGTCTTATAACTGCACCAGCCATCAATTCTTCCTGGCAGTCATACATATATGGGCAGCCTGGAAACCACAGTTGAATAACACAGCAAGAAGCATATGGGAAAACTGGGGGGGGGGGCGCTCAGGCAGCAAGTGCAGAGGGAAGACAACTGTCCACTGAATAATTACTGACAAGGCTGTTTTGTATTATTGGTTTTCAGTAGAGGATCTCCACGCTGCAGAATGGTGCAGCCACCAATAAATTTCCCTGGTTGTCACACATTCATTCAGCTTTCTGT